TCTTGAAGCTCATCAAGAGAATGCCAAGTGTGTGCGAAGCAGTATTTAAAGCAAAGGTTGGCTACTTTGAAGAACCTAGAATATAAGACATATTTTCAGTTGTTAATTCATAGTTTTGATGCCTTCAGTGTGAATCAACAATTTTCGTATTTATGAAAATAAAGAAAACTCTTTGAATGAGAAGGTGTGTCCAAACTTTTGGTCTGTACTCTAACTTCTTTCAGTACTGTTGGCAATTTTCAAAGCACAATACAATTTGTACACAATTAAACAAGGACAAAATTGTTTCATTTTGTCTTCCTTCCCCCCAGACATTAGACACAATCTGTCTGTGGTAAGCAAATGACTTGAATCATGCTTACTGGAGCAAAAGGAGACAAACAAGTAATAATCACCTGAGGATTCATTATTTGCTCCAACATGATTTCAAAGACCTTTGAAGGGTATTTAGGGTAGAAAAAAACGACTGAATCAAGGTGTCAGGAAATGTGCTTTGACTTGCTCACAACCTTTCAGCACACAAGCACTCTGAGGGAGTATAAACAGAAGGACTCATCATTGCTGACATTTGACATTGATGTGACTTACTTTTTGTCCTTTCACGCCACCAGTCCCCTCTGCACCTGGCTGACCCTGTGGGAGGAGGCCTCGGTTAACGACTCTGTAACAGGACGGAATTGTAAATGTCATGGCAGGAAAATACGTACGGGATCTCCTCTCTCTCCCTTTTCCCCAGGGATGCCAGACTCCCCCTTCTCCCCCTGCATGTGAACAGAGCACACCATTGACAGTGACTGACAGCAAAAGCAGGGTGAAGAGACAGACAGATTCGAGACTGAAGCTCGGGCATGGACAGTTGCTATGAATAAGTAATCAGAAAAACATACAGTCCTCTGTCCTCTCAAAATCCCACTACGGTGGGGTAAAAAAGAAATCCATTCTACATATATGGCTTCATCAAGCTGTGGTGTTACATGAGTCTTGCAAGATAATAATAAAGGTCCCTGTTCCACTGCAGTATGTCTATATTTTAATGATAACATTATTTCTTTGTCTACCAATAGATGGCACTTTAGCACAGCTGGTAACAGTTCCATAAAGCATCTTGACTGGATTTCCCCTCACATTTATGTTGAAAAAAACTCAAAGTAAACCTTGGATTTAGAACCAATGGGCATGAAGCAATGGTCAAGGTGGTAATGAACACTTATAGGACAGAATTCTATACTTCAAGAAACACATAAATAGAATCATTTCAACATTTTACACTGCAGAATTGATTCTTTTCTTAAGACCTTTTGTAATTCATAGACTGAAGCCGCAAATACGCTTTTTTATCCACCCTTTGAGCTCAAATATCAGGAATTATCAAAAAACAATTGACCAAACGCTGTTGCTCCTGCTTTCCTAGCATCTTTAAAAAAAACTGCCTTATATATAGAGACTAATTCATGTTAATCACAGTCGTTTTAAATCCTTAAATTGTCAAAACCATAGTATATCATGTTTAAAGTAACCAGAACATGGTTATTATTTTTTGGGGGGGAGTCATACTGTACTTTTTCTTAAATGGCAGGTTAATCATTGAACATTGCTACTCTGTTTTACCTGTGCAAATACCTACAGCTTCAGTCAGTATAAAGACCTCATTGAGCCTACTGTATGTATAACGACCTGAGAGAAAGAAAGTAGAGTCTTTTCTTACTCCTCATAGACTCCTAACAGATAACACTACTGAGTTTTGAGTTTCCCTCCCCCCCATTACCTCAACTTCTTACACTGACAACTGCAGTAATACTGCACCACTCATTTAATGAGATATAGTCACTGTTTCCTCATTCAAATTAGCAGCTGCTATTAAGTCAGTGGACTGCTGGCATACAGTATATGAACAGATGGACCGTCTTATTAATATTTCAGCTGAGGAGGAGGGACTAAGCAGAAACTCTGACTTAAAGGTTTAATTGAATTCTGAGGAGCTTTAGCTGCTACATTCATGGGTGTCAAAACCAAAATTCAACTCTGCTGTATAGTCAAAGAAATAAAAACACACATTTTAATAGTATAGTTACTATACCAGCTCTTGAAAGTGTAAAAAAAATCTTGTTTTTTGTGTTCTTAGAACGTATACTGGCTAAGTGCATGTTTAGCTGTGTTTCTCTCAGACGTACTGCTGAAAGCATTGCTGCTATTTAGTCAGTGTTCCCCCGGAGCAACAAATCTGCTTTTTTAATGGTCTGCATTTTCTCATCCAAGTCAGTTGCTACTTGAGTACCTTATAGAGTAGCCAGTCAGAATAGCTTTGTCCTTGACTTCTGCAACTTTTCATAAGCTTTGATAAAGTAAAAAAAAAAACAGCATTTTCCAAATAAAAAAAACTAACTATAGCTTCTTAAACTAGGGTCTACATCTTTGTTTTATAAATACAGAGGCAAACCAAATGTAATGTCTCAAATGGGGGCAAGAGATGCTAATCAATCGTTGCACACATTAGCAAGATTGATATTGATCTGTCAGTTGTTACAATCTTTATGAACTGCCAGGATGGCAGGGAATCTAGCAGAGAGCGTGACTCCATTTATGTATAAAAAAATATAGCTGAGTTGACGTCAAATATCACATTAGTGGCATTTGCCACTAATATGATATTTGAGTTGACGTCAAATATATTAGTGGCATTTGCAATTTTTAAAACCCAATGAAATAGTCTCTCATCCTCTCTGCAATGTTCTTTTATTCACTAATTACAATACTAATTTATCCAGTACTGCCCTCTTGGCCAGGTCACTGTAAAAGGGATTTTAATCTCATAAAATTTTTTTTTACCTGGTTAAATGAATGAAATATAAATCAAAATGACTTACAGTAGATAGATTTATTTTGTTATTTTGTTTACACCAGTGTAAAAAAAAGAAATTTATTTTAAAACAGCTCTTTTTTTTAGTTTTTCAGTAATAAATACCTAAGAAAATAAATAAAATAGTAATATAAACATATGACTGTATATTTACAGTTCTGATATATATATATTTTATACATAGTTAAGTTGCAAAAGGATTGTCTAGGATGTTGGCCTTCCTTGTCTTTTTCAGTTGTTTATTGTAAAACGTGTCATTTATATGATATTCAAAACAATCGTGCATTTTGACATCTTTAGATATTTTCACATTATTTCCCATTAGAGGCTATTGATAAAAAAAAAGAAAAACAAATATGAGGGAAAATGTTGTAATGTCCTTTTTTTCTGAACTGTTTTGTCCATGCTACACTGTACACTAAAAGTGATTTGCCACCGTGGCGGCAGTTTGCACTGAGTTATGACTGACGCTCGATGTAAATCACATCTAATGGAAAGTTGGAATTACCCTGGATGTCACCTGTTGTGAAAAACTTGTGCCCTGCATTCTGTCACAGGCTTAAAGAACCATACTTCTCTTGTTATCTCAGTTAGATCTTCACAGAACATTATTCTCAGCTAATTTACAAGCAGAAGACAACGAAACAAGTGAATAAACCTTTCAAATGAGATTAACTGAAGCATGGTCAGTGTTTATGTAGATTACTGCTGTATTTGTGCGAAGATAAAGCCCAGGGAACTGTTCCACCTGTGGCTAACTGCGGGTGATGTGTTGACTTTTAGCTACCCCAAGTCATCAAACTGCAATTAGGACTGTCAGCATCACTCTCTCTGTCAATATCTGCTGTGTTCTGTCAGAAGCCAATTGAGACCAATGGTGGGGGGGCACAGTTATGAAGATGTAATTCACAAAGACACTGCCTTTCCCAGCACATACTACACAGCAGCCCCCAACTTTAGTCTTTAATTCCTAAAACATTCCCATTCTACTGAGAGAGTGAGAGAGGTCTCTGTCCACATAGCACGCCACCAGTAACAGCATGGTCTCACCTCAGTTTATTTGATACAGACTGAAAAATGTAAAATAAATGACAGTGAAGTGTTTAATTATTACTGCAAATCAAAACTTTTCCCTGTCAAAGTGCTAAGTTTATCTCTGCTCACCATTTTGCTCTTTTAAATGTATTTATGTGCATGGCTGTAGTTTTTTAATGAATCAAATTATGATGTGATGCTTTTCAGTAGGAGATTTGATGCCTTGCTGTGCAGAGAAATCAGAAATGTATGATGATACAGTAAAGATGCAATGACAGTGTAGGGGCATGACTGATTTATGGCCAAAGCAAAGCTTGCTTTTAAATTTGCTCTGCAAGAATTAAACCAGGACACAGAGTTTGTTCAGAAACCCATACATACATAACGGGTATTAAAGCTAATGTCTAAACATTAAGCTTTGGTCTCCAATGGACATCATCAGCAGCTTCTGTTATTCAACCTTCGTATATAATTAATTTAAGGTAACCAAGTTATACTGACTCAGGTTCATCTGGGTTTTTTTGTTCACCTTTGTGGATTTTTAAGGTACTAGTGGGATTACCATTTGATATTGCTTCAAGGAATTAGCTTTACAATGATTTCTAAGTACTGTTATTACAATTCTCAGTCATTTAGTTAAGGCAGTGAAAGCTTTGTAAAGCTGTTTCCCATTTGGTTGTTTTAAGAGGTGGCTAAATGAATAGTTATTAGAAATTCGTTAAACATCAATAAGGAATATGTAAAACATTACTTTGAGAAGTGACAGAGTACTGGGATTAAAGGTATGAAATTTACTGGACAATAATGACATAAAGGCTGAAATTAGTTTCGCATTATGATAAGTAATTTCATCAGGGCATGATCTGCAGCTCTCCCTCGAGCGGTTCGCAGCAGAGTGTGAAGCGGCTGTATGAGAATCAGGGCCTCCAAATCCAAGACCATGGTCTTCAGCTGGAAAAGGGTGGAGTGCCTTGGTTGGGGAGGATGTACTGCCCCTAGTGAAGCAGTTTAAGTATATTGGGGTCTTGTTCACGAATGAGGGGAAGATGGAGCAGGAGATCGAAAGGCAGTTAGGTGCGGCATCTGCTGTGATGCATGCGCTGTACCAGTCTGTTGTGGTGAAGAGAGAGCTGAGCTAAAAAGCAAAGCTCTCGATTTACCGGTCGATCTACGTTCCTACCCTCATCTTGGGTCATGACCGAAAGAATGAGATCCTGGATGCAAGCTGCTGAAATGAGTTTGTGTGTCTGGACTCTCCCTTAGAGATAGGGTGAGGAGGTCATTCATCTGGGGAGGACTCAGAGGAGAGCCGCTGCTCCTCCACATCAAGAGGAGCCAGTTGAGATGGCTTGGGCATCTGATTAGGATGCCTCCTGGACGTCTCCCTGGTGAGGTGCTCCAGGCACGTCCCACCGGGAGGAGAACCAGGGGGAGACCCAAGACACGCTGGAGGGACTATGTTTCTCAGCTGGCTTGGAGGGACCTTGGGATTCCCCCTGAGGAGCTGGCCCAAGTGATAAGCGGAAGAAGATGGATGGATGGATGGATGGATGGATGGATGGATGGATGGATGGATGGATGGATGGATGGATGGATGGATGGATGGATGGATGGAGTAACGATTGTCTGACCATCGTGGGATTAGGTTTGACGTGCTATACATAGTCAATAACTGGACCAAAGTAGGTAAATAAAAGTGTGGTGAATTAATTAGAAATTAAGTTGTGAGTTCGAAACCCACTCCCACAGACTGCCACTCTGGGTCCCTTAGCAAAGACCCTTAACCCCAAACTGCTCACCGGGCACGGCACAATAGCAGCCTACTGCTTCTCAAGGGAACGGGTTAAATGCAGACAGTGAATTTTCCTTGTGCTGTACTTGTGACAGTGTAATAACAATAAAAACGCTGGAAAAAAAAAAAAAAAAAAAACAGCATAAGATTGTGTTATCATCATGTCATTGTTTTTTCTTTTGAATAGTGGGCTAATACTTTACAGAGATACATTTTTACTCATTTAATGAGCCAACAATTAAAAATAATTTCAGATAGCCTGCTTCCAGTATAGTTTAAAGAAATGAAAAAAGAAATGATAAAGAAAATGCCTCTTTATGACTTATGGTAACAAAGATCTACCAATATGAGCTCATTTTGTGTTATTTTGGTGTGATCAGTGGCAAAAAATCTATCGTATTTTAAAAGCAAAATAAGAAGCAAAATAAAAGCAAATAGGATATGAAAAATGGATTGATAAAAGACACATATTTAAACCACCATTAAACTGCAGCAACACAATAAGCAAGAAAACATTTGTTTGCTTTGCTCTGTAATTATGATGTTCCATTATATGTGAAAGATGTTCCATACAGTAGTAGCCCTTGTTTAACCTTCTTACTGTTTCGAAAATAAAGAAGAGTTATTTACTTTGTTTAAAAAAAAATTTGTTTCCTTTTTCAAGTTTGGAAAACCTACATTTCCTTTCCTTTAGGCAGAAGGACCAGACAGAGCCAAAGAGACTACAGCGGTCAGTGATAAATCTGCACATCTGATGACTCATGCATTCAAGAGGTTGTCCACAACACAATGCTCTCACTTTTTAGCGTGATCACAAGTATTGGCCACTGAAGCCTCAAGTAGCAGGTGGTTTGTAGGTGGGTTGGCGAAGGCAAAACATCTTTAGGAAGCTTGACAGAGGCCAGTAACTGGCAGTTTTTGTGTTTAACACTCTAAAATCGTACAATCTATACCTTATGTGCCACTGGTGTGTAAAACACCCTAGGGCTTCATGAAAATGATTGCAGATCTTTTTTTTTTTTTCAAAAGTACGGCATGTAATGGCCATCTGGTAAGTTTAGATTGTGAGCATTGAGTCATGCTGTGCTGTGCTGCAGCAGACAAAGGCTGGGAGCAGCTATTTAACTTGCAGCAGATACGCTTCAACTCACTAAGTGTTGCCATTTCTAAAGAGAGAGATCTGTTCCCAACTATTAACTCCAAAAGGTGTCAGTTGTGGACAAAGGAGATACTACAACTGCTCTTTTACACCTGACTTGTCTGGGTTGGCAAGAGAGGCAACGAATGTACATTTTATCCAGGTGAAACAGAATGATTTTAAATCAAACAATTTTTTAAGATAAATTGTTTTCCCTATCTGTCCTGAAGTTAATCAGACTAAATATTTGCTGTTTTAAGTTAGTTGATTTTACCAAAATGATTTATATCTGTTAAATAGGAAAATAATGTGAGAGATTTTTTAGAGAAATATTCCTAACTCTCTTGTTGTGCCATTGTATCCATTTCAAAATGTAACTACAGCTTCCAGCATGCATTGCAGTCCGAAATAAAACCACAGGTGATAAAACCCCCACTCAGTCTTCTTCTGCAGCTTACCACTGCTATGAAGAGACCCCACCTCAGCTGAACTGTGCTTCGAAACGGTAAGAACCGTAGCATCACTGCTGGCTGATGCTGCACCACTTCATCATTATTTCCTCAAATAAGAAACTTTTTTAGGCTTTGACTTTGTGTGGACTCTGCAGATTTCCAAGTTGTACCCAGTATGAAACTGCTACTGACTAAGGCTGGCATTTTTGTTCCGGAGCAGCAAAGATCCCAAATAGATACTGGGAGATGCACCATTTCTCTGCTTTCCTGTGCTCATCCAACTATGATGAACCTGGTTGTTTTGGCAAAAAAAAAAAAAAAAAAAAAGACCAGAAGCCAAGTTCCCTCTTCCTCTGTTTTTGGAGCCACATACCATGGCCAAGAGCTGCAATATCCTGCCTTCTAAGACGGTATCAAAAAAATATCGCTTTTTCTTAAATTCTTTAGCCGTGCCTGGGCAGGTAGATATTTAGAATTAGAGTAAAATTTTATTTAAACTCCAGAAGGATATTGTGCTTTGAGTTTCATGCTAAAATTTTTTATTGTGTGATCTGAACCTAAAAGTCAGCGTGATTTGTTGGTTTTCAAACTCTTTGAATGTTGTTCTGTGCTTGAGAGTGCACAGCCGGTCAGCTGAGTGAATCATTTCTCTTCTTCTTCCTCCTTTTTTTTCCTTTCTCTCTTTCCTTCCCTCTGAACCTCATGTTTCTCGCTGATCACACAGCTAGCTTTGCTGTTAGTCTTTTGTCTGCTACCAGACCTCTCCCCCCGCTGCGTAACCACACAGGTTGCATTGCCTATTGTTAAGGAGGGAAGCTACAAGCCAGGGTTGCAGCATTATTTCCCCCACATGCCACATGTACCTCAAAGCTGTATTTATTTTATATCATCTACTGGGCTGATTAATTATTATTAAATGCTGAAATGAAGCTGAAATTTGATTAATGGTGTGATTTTAATTTTAGAACGGTAAATTTACAGTAATTTTTACTATTTTTCAAGGCTGCACTTTTAAAAGATGAAATTGTCCAGTGAGCTTACTTGTGTAAACAAAATGACAAATAAATCTGTCTAAAGTCTAAAGTCTTTTCTAAGAACTGCTGTTATCCAGGAAAATCAAATTCCTATTTTCAGTTTAATCTTTTTGTAGTTATTATGTGTTATAGTTTGAGTAGATATTCCTGAATATAATAATAATTGGAATAATTGCACAACAGATATATTCTAAGTTACTCTGCTTTTAAATATCTTTAGAAAGTCACTGGCTATGTCAGCATCTCAGCTCCATATATTTTACAAATATAGGGAATGCAGTGGACCACATGGAGACATTAGAAAGAGACTTGTTGAGATTTGTGTAAAAATGTATTGCAAATAAAGACAGAATGTGATTATCAAGAAATGCTCACATTCAGAAAAGAAACAGTGGTTGATTTTTTAAGAAATTAAAGGTTTTGGTGAAAAATATGCAACCTATCAACTCCAGAGAAAAAGCAGAAGACCCTGCAAAGATGCTGGCTCAAGGTGGTCAGAGAGTGTCATTATCCTCAATGGACTTACATGAGATGAAAGGCTTTTCACTTGGGAAGGAAACAGTTACACGAAATGCAATATAAAAGCCAGATTCATAGAAATTTAGATATAGATGCTACCTTGACACTTGCTCCCTCTGAGGTTCCTAAAGGACCCTGTAAGAAAAACCACAAGATTATCACATGAATGATATGGACAGCTGGGAGGAATTCGTTATTCTTTTAATACAAAGTCATCTATGGTAAGTTAGTCTGTGATATCATATTTTTTCTTTGCACTAGTGTTTGATCAATTAATAGTGCAACTTGGACAAATGCAAGTCATATTTGGATAACAGCTTTGTCATACCCCTCTGAGACACACCACTGTTATGTTCTGCCAGTTTATACAGAAAAATAACATTGACCCCTTGACTGAAAAAAAAAGATTTTGCCTGAGATAAACCTGAGTTAAACAGGGTGACCATAATAAAAGAAAATACCATGGGATGAATGTATATCAGGCACAATGTGGAAAATATCATGACATCACTAATAAATGCCACATGCCTGTACAGTAATGTCATAATTTTCCAAATCTAGATATCCAAAAAGAGTAAGTAATTAGGTAATAAATTCAACTGTATAGTAGAGATTTAACTGTCAAAAGTCTAATTATTCCCAAAACCACTGAACTGGAGCATTGACGATAAAATCAAAAATGGAGTATCTATTTCTCAATGGGATAAAGACCTACCCTATTGGAGCCCTATAGTGCAATCAAGCCAGCCATGCTTGAGAATAATTACACACTCAGAGTATCTGAGATACACACTAGCTAGACCTTCCTGTTTGTTCTGACATCAGCAGTTAAGAGTCTGACAAGCTGTCTCCTGTAATGCTCAGTGTTGTTTGTACCTTTTATTTAGTGGGTCACTAGACAAACACATGCACATTCCTGCACACACCCACAAATGCACAGTGTCTGGGAATGGGTTTGGACACCTGAGGAAAAGACCATAACTCAAGGACTCAATGGGCCTATAAGACACACTTGTACTACTCATCAATATAAACACATTCAAGTGCTACCTTGAACAACCCCTTGAGGTTTTGTGTTAAGAAAAGATGGCTGTAAATTTTCTAACAAATCAATAGTGTCAAAGCATGGGACTACTTAACATCTTTAAACATTCCCACCAAATTTACATACATGTTCATGCTAATTTGTTTTAGGAGGGATTCTTTGGAGTATACCTTTACTGTACTGTATTGCTATAGCCCCTTAAAGAAGGGCCCATGCTTCTTTTACATCTTGTACCACTATAAGCACAACCTCTAAAGTAAAATACTGACATTAGATATGATGTAAAGAGGAAGAAAAAAAGTGCAATCATCGATTCTCCCTCGGCACCACCTGGGCGGCACCCTCTTCCAGTAGCTCTTACTTAAGTTTTGAGTTTTTCGTTTTAAATCCTTTTTCTAAACATGTGTATTTGTTTCCACCGTGCCTTTTTAAATTATGGAGCTGACCATTTAGTGAATAACTTTGTTTTTCTTTTCACTTTTAATGGCATTTTTGATCAGAACCACACATGCAACCATAACTGTTTTAACCAGGGAGCAGCTGTTACTGTAGCTTTCGGTATCACTGCTGTGCCGCCTCCCTCCAAATAATTCATGTGAGCTGGAAGGAAGAGAAGTGGGACCAATGGCAGTACCAGTTGTGACCAGAGGAGAAAATGCAGAGCTGTCATCCTTTCTATTATCACAGGAAATGATAGATCTTTTTTTGGGATCAAGTGTATCAAGACAAGAATATTTGTTTATGCTGATGAATACACCGCTGACAGCACTAACTCTAGGCGCATACATAAACAGGGGGGAGTCGGAGGTTTAGATAACTCCTGGTTGTCAGAACCAAGAAGAGTCGCAGGAACATTTACCATATCTTTCTAATGTTTAGCATATATAACTAATTATATTTATCATAAATGAGCTAAAACAACAATGTTTTAATAAGATTTAATGCAAAAAAAGAACTACAATGAAATGATTTCAACAAGAGACTTTCTTTGCTGCAGCACATCACTTACAGGTGGGCCTCTTGGTCCAGGCTCCCCAGGCTTTCCTCTCTTTCCCTGAGGACGACATTGTAGAGAAAAAGAAAAAAAATACAGAGTGAGCATAAGATGAGTGGATGTACGACAACAGGTGCAGCAAGACAGGGATGCTGCCAGCAAATAGGGCTAGACAGCAACTCCTGTCGCATTCTCTAATTCACTTTTAATTAAGAACAAGTAAACAGTTTAATTGGTGCACCCCGTGTGGCCCACTACTCTTTGTTCCCTCGTTTGGTTTACTGCCTCCTTCCCAGCTGTGGGATTCTCTCAATGTATCAATCAACCTGAGGAACAAACAGGACAAGCTAGACAGTGCTGCAGTGTATCACAAAGCAGGGTTTGCAAGATATCATTTACCTCAGTTTTTCGTTAACTTGAGAATCATGAAATTCAACAAAAATAATCATAAAAAAATGCTAAAGAAATAATACATCTTATGCTGTCTAATACTATCTGACATCTAATGCTATCTGAGGTCAAGCTGAGTGAGTTGTTACATCAATAGATTGCATGCATGTGAAAATAAGATAACCCTCTTTTTATCTGCACAGCCCTGCAGGATATTTGGATCACACTAGCAGGTTCCAGGAATTTTGATGGCAGGAAATTTGTAAAATCACATCCAACTAATACCAACCCACTGCAGAGTTGGATGGCAAAAGGATGATACAACACTTAGGCATTTACTGGGACTATAAGCCATTACCTCTTTCTAGTATGAGTTTCATCATCTGAAGGCAATGTGACATTGTGTTTCTCTCCTACTGTATGTGCGGGTGACGCAAAAACACTTCTTTCCTCTGCAGAGTTAGCTGCAGTGTGGATATGTGAAAAGCTAAGCTCTCTGGCTGCTGAAAGAAAAGTTGAGAATCACAAAGTGACGCCCCCGAATCTTTTCTCTGACACTCCATGTGCACACTTTGATTAACTGGGTCGAACCTGACGTGTATGACTGCCTGCAACAAAGGCAAGGGAATGAACTTCTCTTTAGCAAAGCTACTTCTTTTAATCATCTGTTTGCATGTGTGCACAGGCTCCTAGGCTGCATGTGTACTTTAATGTCTGCAGTCCAGAGATACCAGGATAATGGGAAGGGGAGAAAGGAAGATGTAGTAATGTAAATATTAACCCTAATAACAACACAATAGAGCTCATGTGTGACTTCTCCAGGGAACTGTGTGCTTCCATCTGTTCTTGCTGTTTGATGTACCAACAAAGCCCTGCCCACTATCTTTTGATCAGTGGAGTTAATGCACCTCTAATGCCTCAGTTTGGAGGCTTTAATGTGAACATAAATGGGAGAAGAGCTGGCAAAAGTCAAATTTCCTTGATGCGTAGAAGCAGCATCTTTAAACCGTGTAATCTTTTTGCTTCATATGGCTGCTATTATAAAACACCTGAGTAGTCTCTTTGACGGCCCTGTTCAGTTTGTGGTGCAAAAAAGAGCTGTAAGAACAGGGGGTTAGTGCTCAGTCAATAGATGCTTTTGCATGTGGGTGTAACATGTGCATTCAAAACAGACTTTTTGTGTTGAAGGTCTTTTTTTTCACAAGATAGCATTATGGTGAAAGACTGATTTTTCTTTCTACTTTGGAGATAATTAACAGGTAGTCACTGAGTCACTGCTATGGTTTAGAAAAGGAAAAAGAAACTCACTCCCCACTGCTGCCCTTTCCTCCTCCTAACACAACAACAAAAGCAGATTACACAGATAAGTAATTTACCTGATGAATATTTCATGTGCTATTATTCCAAGCAGGTCATGAATTATGCAGTTTTCAGAATTATTTCCCAACACTTGCCCTTAAAATCCTTTTTAACACCAAAGTAAACGCAGATTTTATGTCAATTTATTCACGTTCAATGATAAGAACAAATAATGGCTCTGCACTTCTCATCAAGCGAACTGAGATCAACATGGTATGAGCTTTGCTTACATTGTTGGGAAATTTTTAATATATTTGGTTTTTAATGAGGAGTTTTGGATTTGTTCATCTGAGAAAAACCTCTTCTCTAATATGCTCCCTTCAAAATCTTTAGGTGCATTAAAAAATATTTACAGAAAGATACTACACAAAATCTTGACTTTTATAGAAGTCAGACTGGTTAATTTGCTTGCCAATCAGGTAACCAAAGATAAGTTAATCTTAATGTACTGTAAGAAAAAGGATAATTCACAACATTGTTACACAAAATATGACCTTGTGGATTTTTTGCTTGGAAATTATTGTTGAAATGCTGTTAATATTGTTAATATTTCTTGTTTTTTTTAGTCTTTGAACATTTTCATTAGATCGTTTCTCTGTTTTAGTCTCATATTTAGATAATTGTTTTCAGTATAATCTGTTAGGGTTAAAATGGGAAGCACTCAAATAAAGCAAAGCTGCATTTGAATCAGGCTGTCATTGCTATTCGCATACAATTGACTGTAACCACCTGGAAATCTTTCTACTTTCACATTATTTGCTTATTTATGGTTTGGTTATGTATTACTGGCTTACTTAGATGTTAGATAACTCTTTTATATTAAATTACATTTTATTCTATTATAAGCTAAAAACAGAATTCCCTTCCAAAAAAAAAAAAAAAGAGCATCTTAGCAGCTTCTAGTACAGGTATGAAAAGCTGCCATTCACACCTCCCACCATCATAATCACAAAGCTTTATATGCATATATATACTCCCACAGTGATGGATGGGTGTTTTGTGCTTCTAGATCATCGCGTGGTTTGGCTCATATACTAAACGGGACAGGTCTCAACTACCAAGAATAATTAGGTCTGGAGGAAAGATCATTGGGTTGACCTTCTATGCATAAAGGACTTGTACAGGTCTAACGTCAGAAAAAGGGCAGCTAACACCTCTGCAGACCCCACCCATTCTGCACTCTTACTGTAAGGGGTTTTACCTTCCGGTCACGCTATGGTATGCTATTTATCACAAACATACACCACACACATATATTATTATACATGTGTACGTTTACAGGAAAAAAAATGCTTTGTAAAAAGATATCTTATTATAGAGCAAAGTAGATGTGTTCTGGCGATTAAAACAATTTGACTGCCTGTGTACAAATTTTAAATCGTCCAAGTCAAGGCCACCACAAAACATGCCTAATGACCACCAGAATTTCACTTAGTTTGATCATACTATGCTTATTATTGACTAGCTTGACTTAGCTTTTACCTACTTAGCAACTAACACACTATATAAATGTATGTTTCTTCTCATCTGCTTACTAATTATATCCTTACATATGCTTTTCCTTGCTTACTTCTTCTTTAACTGCTTACTTATTATATTTAAGATTATTACTTGCTTAGATCTAGAATTAACTATCATTTATTTGACTTATGAACAACCTACTTATATGCAAAAAAAATTCTTACCTATTACTAATTTATCACCGACTCATATATTGGCTTGCATTATTTACTTGCTTACAAATTTTTTTTAAAACTAGATTTAACTTCCATAAAAAAGGCAAAAACCTGAGATGCACTGAAGCCCAAATGCAGTCACTAGGCAACAAGGATGAAAAGGACATTAAAAACAAAGATTTGAACCCTGTCACAAAAGTAAGATATAAAAATGTGAGATAATGTGGTACCTGTGACAGAAAGAATATTGTTACAATAAAACTAATTAGAAGAAAACTTTGATCCTCCAATATTTGTAAAATCTAAGAAAAATTATTTATATGGCTGCAGTAAAGTTAGCAAAAAGGTAAAGCATGCTTTAGCTTACCACGAAATAAAAGTTGGTGCCTAGGAATCCATTCTGGTGGCTTACACAACTTTAACTTTATTTCATTATGTTCTGATTATTCAGGTCCCATTTTCCCCTATTGTGAATGCAATTGGTTTTTAAATTCCAATTTCCATCCTCTCTGTGTCAGCCGCTTTTCTTGTACCTTACCTTTCTTTCCTTGTTTTTCTGTCACTTAGCCTTTTTCTTTCTTTGTTCAACCTCCAGTGTCTGTTGAATCACCCTGACAATCTCTGTTGCCATGCAACGCTCAGTGTCCTATAAATTTGACAACATCCTAGAGCTTGATTATTATTTGAGCGCTGCAGTGTGAAGCCCTCCTTCAGGTCACTGCAGTAGATTAGATGGAGGTTTAGATGGTGAATAGCAAGGAAGGACATGATTGCTGGAGAGATGGGAAGGAGTTGGAAAAACTAAAGGACGTTCAGAAAAGTCAGAGTTTCAGATGAACCATCGTTCTGCGTAAATCAAAGTTGAATCAAAGGATGAATCATGTATTCCCATTAAGTACTTATCTGTTCCTCTATAAAAACTGGCAAAGCAATGTGAAAATATAGATTACAGGAATCAATGCGACTACAGTACAAGCTAAAGCTAAAATTGGCACACATCTGAGCTGAAAGTAAAGAGGTCTCATGCAGACTGACAGAGTTTGAACTTCCAACATGATCCAAGCAGAACCGAGTCTTTGGCTCCAGCTTATTGATGAATTGAAAAAGCATAAAGGAATCAACATCCAAGGGCTTCTGCTCAGTCCTGCAACACAAACCTCAATCTGAGTGCAAAGTCAACAGTAACAGTGAGTGACACACAGCAGAGGCACTCCTTTATGATGACTTCCTAATCTTTATCCCAAATGTCAACATGTTCCTAAAGGCGCTGCATAACGCCTTAAGGAACAACAGATGCACCACAACCTTCCATTTGATCAACCTTATAACCAAACTTCTCAAATGGGATCAACAGAAAAACTCAGGCAGCAACAGGAAATGATCAACACAGAACCACATTTAAATATAAGACTTACCAATACGAGGAGAACTAGATGATTATTTTAAACTTGTGTGTTACCTTAAAAGGTACATGTTAGTAACTATTGCAATGCTTTTGTCTATGTGACTGACTTAAACAATGCTTAGCAGAACTCTTAGTGTTCTGGGAGACATGCCCTTTTCTTGACTGAAAAAACTTGTATGCCACCCTACTTTTTGTGAGCGAACTGAGTCCTGCCTGCCTTAGGGACATGT